GTTTTTACTCGTTAATTAAGTTATGCACCAGTTTCGTTAATTAATTAGACTCGTTTAAGCAAGTGTAAATAATGAAAGCAGAAAGCATAAAAGAATGTAAAAACACAAAGGAATTGTTACGCAGTTCGGAGCTCCTTCTCCTACGTTTGCGGGGCAACCCACATCTGTCCAATCCACTAAAGATGTTCACCAAAAGGAGCATTACAAGAGGTAAATACAGATGGCCTCCAGCCTTTACCACTACCACTCTTTCTAACACCTATCCAGGATTGACACACGAATACCCGAACAATCTTCACCAGATGTTTCAGTAGTACCACGTACTGATCATGTAGTACAGATTAAATATTCTTAAGAATTAAATAATAAAACACATTAAAATGGGAAGCTTTGTAAATCAGATGTGAGCTCTTGAATTATTAATCTCAAAATTGGCAACTTTCCTCTTTGGTGTAGCTTCCTTTTTATAGCTAATATTCAAACCTCATTCTGATCCTTAATATTAGCTCCCTTGTATTCAAATAAATCTCAGCCACATGCTTTTGTTTGAAAGCTTCCTTTTGTGCGTTGTTGCTGACTTTCTTCTCATTTACCAATGCATACCATCCACACATTTAGATATCACATGGTCCAAAATAGAATTAATTCTAACAACTCTAATTAATTCTAATAACAACACTAATTAATTCTAATAACAACACTACTAAATAAAATAGCCAATAAGGTTTAACGTGTAGAATAATTTTACACTTACAATCTCCCCCTTTGACATTTTATTTGGTAAAACTCAAGTATCAGATACCTTGGGCAAAAGATTGAGAATCAATTTAATTTTTATTAATAGCCCTTAGTATAAGTACAGAACATGACAAGATAAAACAAAAAATAGACTTAATTTCTTTTTGGACCATTTGTGAATAGTGTACCTGATTAAACAGAACTTCAAGCCGTGGATTGCACACAGTGGGATCGAATTCACCTTGTTCATATGAGTAGTAGTAACATCCCATACATAATGTCATTAAGAGCACAAAAAGGATTACTACTCCCCCTAACATAATAATCCTATGTATTCCATAAACGATAGAACAAAGATTCCAATATGGGATAAAAACTTCCAATAATATATCACTACATAATGATCCAAAATATACCACTCCATAATAATCCCAAAGATAACACGAAAACTTTCAATAATATATCACTTCATAATGATCCAAAATATACCACTCCATAATAATCTCAATTATTTCCAAAAATAATCCCAAAGATAACACGAAACTTCCAAAGGAACCATTAACAAAAAATTCGAATATATTCCCCCTTACTCCAAAAACTCCCCCTTTTTGCCAAATAAATGACAAAGGATGGTGAACATCATAATAGTGGATTAGATTTGCCGTGCAGACGGGGTACCTGAGTCAGAAGCATCATCAGTTTCATTTGTAGTAGTGCCAGTATCAGCCCTCATATTTACTTGCTTGTTTACACCCATGTATAATTTTTTCATATCCAATCTTGCATCATATTGATCAGAATTGAATATCAAACACCAAGAAGATAAAACCATTATAAGCAATCTCATCCAAAATATTCCTCATAAATAATCTCATCAAGTAGATAATCCAAGAAGAATCCAAATAAGATGATGATTATAAAATGAGACCCTAGAGATTATGATGAGCCAAATAAACCGATAACCCAACGAGATAATCCAAAAACTGATAGAGTCCAGTAAGAGAATTCATATATACCCAAGAAAACCAATATAACCGAAAATACCCAATAAATACACAACTTGAATTTTTTCATAAGAGATTAAGAAGAACTCCCCCTCAAAATTTACGTCGTGATTGTTTCCTTTGCAAAAAATTTCACATTAGCTTGAAACTGTAATTGTGACTCCATAATAAGTTATTTGCTTTGTTTGAACCTGCAGAAGATTTAAAAAAAAAAAAAAACGAAAGGCCTAGAGCCATGCACACGCAACTTGCAAACAACTCAGCAAAACACATAAGGAAGAAAAAATTCAGGAATTTTCAATTTTCAATTCGAGTCAAACAGATTAGCAAATAAAACAGTAAGCACATTCATGTAAAGCAAGCCAAAGATTCAAAAAAAAAATATATCAAATTCAGACATAGACATATATAAACCAAATTTAGGCACAGATTCAGACCAGATATCACGAAAAACACACAAATAAACAATTTAGGCACACATAGCGCAGGAAACACATAGATAAACACAAATATGGTCATGTAAAGCATATTCAGCCAGAGATTCAACTAAAGCAACATCAGGCACAAATTCATATAAATCACTTTCAGGCAAGAATTCATAACAGTTAGCACTATAAGTACACAAGAAAACACAGATACGGTCATGACCGGACCAGCAAAACACATTCACATATTGTGCAAATATTAAACAAAATGCATCAAATTTTCATTCAAATAACCATAGAGAATTCAAAAGATGCAACACAAGAAACACCAATAAAGTAACCTCAGAAAAATAGGTTTAAAAGCACTCACAACAACACAAGTAGAACATTTAGTAACACATAGAAAATAGTCAAGAACAACACACAAAGAATCAATCTGCAATTTTGAGTAGTAGGTAATGAAAAGAACTAATTGCGAGAAAAAATGGAATAGAGGACAAATCAATCATAGAGAGACGCACCCACAAAAAAAAAAAAAAACGACATAGATGCAATGTAAGAGCATGTACGAACAAACCCATTAATTCAAAAGATAAATTCCCTTATCCTGAAACAGATTATATCACAGATGCAGAATATTACACTAGCAAAGATGAAGAATTTCAAGATTTTGATGAATGCAAGGATATTGAAGTAGAGGGCACCAAATTAGGTAAAAGAACACATAAAACTCAGCTTTAGATATAGGAAAATTTGCAGGTAATTCACAAGACACATTAGACAAATACACCCAAAAAAACATTCAAGGAATTAACAAAAGGAATTAGAGAGTGATGAACCTGTAAACTTTATCACCAACGATGATGGTAAAATTAATTTTGAAGATGGGTGATCTATTGTGGATGCGTGTTGGAATGTCAATGTCATCTCGATCGTTGTCTGATTCTGAGTCTGGTTCAGGTTCTTGTTGATTAGATATGGGCGATGAGGTAGATGACTCAGGATCTGGTTCCGGAGTACCAGCGTCAGGGGATTTAGGGCGGTTAGCTTCAGGATCTGTCACTGAGTCAGGTTGAGTAACTTCGATAATCTCATGTGGTTGATCATCGATTATGACATTTGTGGACACCATGATGGTTTTGATCACCTTATTGTATACTCTGTAGGCTCTGCTATTTGTTGAATAGCCGAGAAAGATTCCTTTGTCGCTTTTTGGTTCAAATTTTGAGACTGGATTCCTATCTTTCAATATAAAACATCGTGAGCCGAAAATGTGAAAATATGTAATGTTCGGCTTTTTACCTTTCCATAATTCGTATGGTGTTTGTGTTGTGCCTGGACGAAGGTAGACTCGGTTGATGATGTGACATGCTGTGTTTACAGCCTCTGCCCAGAACTTCTGTGGTAATCCTTTGGCATTTAATAAAACCCTTCCCATTTGCTGAGGAGTCTTTGGAGCTGAATACTCATGAGTGATTCCTGATTGGTTATAGAAGACATCGAACAACTTGTTTTCGAAATCTCTGCCGTGATCACTTCGGATTCGAACAATGGATTCATTTCTTTCCTTTTGGAGTTTTAATCCCAGTGTTTTGAATGCTTCAGGTGCTTCGGATTTTTCCCTGAGAAAGATTACCCACGAAAAGCGTGAAAAGTCATCGACACATACCAGTATGTATTTCTTACCTCCGAAGCTTGCTGTTTGAGTTGGACCAACGAGATCCATGTGGATCAATTCTAGGCACCGACTTGTGTTTATGGTATGTTGAGCTGGATGAGATTATTTGGTTTGCTTCCCATCTTGACAGGCACCGCAGATAGTTGATTCGACTTTCATCTTGGGTAAACTACGAACACCTTCTACTTTTGCAAGTTTATCAAGGAGTCTATAACTTAGATGACCCCTTTTTTTTTTTTTGATGCCATAGCTCGGCTTCATTCATGCTGGTCCTGCAACAGAAGATATGTTAGTTAGAATATAGCAATTGTCAGTTGACCTTTTACCTTCCATAACGCATTGATTTGTTTTGTCCATCACACTGCAGCTATTTTTAGTGAAGCATATGTTCTAGTTTTGGTCGCATAATTGACTTATGCTGATAAGATTAGCGTGAAGACCACGGACAAGCAACACTTTGTCCAGTTTTGGCAAACCAGCAACATTCAGAGTGCCTATGCCAGTCACCTGACCTTTGACACCGTCACCAAAGGTAACTTCACCTTTACTGGTATTTACGTTGTTAAGGAATTTGACATTTCCTGTCATGTGACGGGAACATCCGCTGTCAAAGTACCATTTCTCTTCTCTTCCTGCACTTTTAGAGTGAAACGAAACAAACGAAATATAATCAGTCTTTTTAACCCAAATTTGTTTTGTGAACGGTTGTATGTTCTTGTGCCTGAACTTCTCGATCCTTTGATCCTTGTAGAAATAGTAGCATTCAGGTCTGGTATGACCGCGTAACCTGCAATAGTGGAAAACGGGATTATATAGTTTATAATGTATCTTATTTGCGCTTACTGTACCATAGGAGCGTTTCCTTGTGCTGGACTCAGGGATATCTTCTGGATCAGGTCCAGATGCTTTGACAAATACTGTCTTATCTTTGGAGTTACTTCCAGTGAAGCCCAAACCAAATTTTGCAGATGATTTCCTGCCGGAATCAAGAATCTTATCAAGTGTTGAAGTGGTATCCATCATTTGGATTTTTCGCTTGTAGGTGCTAAGCTCCATTTTCAAAGTCTGTACTTCTTGCTGGAGTTTTTCTTCTCGGTCGGCTGCTTCCTTCAGTAGTACATTGCCAGTTTGTACTTTGTTTTGTAATTTTTCTTCTCAATCAGCTGCTTCTTTAAGTAAGACATTCCTATCAGCTACTTGAGTTTGATATACTTTATTGGCATTGGTTACAATCTCTATCTCACTAGCTAGTTTGCAGTTCATTTTTCGTAGATACTGTCCTACCTTTTCAAAATATTGTCCATAATTCTACCAAGAAAACACAATGAAGAATTAGGGAAAAAGAATAAAGTTAAAGATTATTTAAAAAATTGATGGTTGTAATGAAAAAACTCTTACTGGTAGTCTGACAGTCTCGCTAAGTAAAGAAATTGTATTGATATCTTTTCGGAGTTTTACATTCCTTTCAAATGAAAATGTAAACTTTCCATCATCTTGAGCCCACTCAGAACCTATGTGCTTGTTGTTAAAAAAGGCATGGAGGACATGGCTTTTGGTATTAACTTCAAGAGTAAGCTCTTGACCCAAAATTGGATTGTTTTCATCTATCTTGAAACTGAAAAAATTAAAACAATACTAATCAATTAGTGATCAATTCTATAAAAAAAATATAAAAAAAATTGCAAAATATACATACCTTGTCATGTACCACAAGTAATCAGTAGTATCATTTGTTACAACTTTCTGATCGAACAATTGTTTGGCATCAAGAGCATCTATCAATTCTGAGCTTTGATTTTTGTGACCATACTTGAGATGCATAACAGTTTCAGGCCTATATGACCATTTCAATGCCCCTTCACTTAGCTTCTTTACCATCACAGTTGTTTGAGCATTAACCTACAACAAAATAATGTCAATAAAATATATTAAAATTATTACTTACATTCATGAATATTGTAGTAGATGATGTTTTATAATAAGTTACTCACCCGGGCTGTATTATAAACTTCGGTTTTGCAGTCAGGGAGAATTGTGACAGACCATGCAGGAGTGGTGTAATTCTTGCCTTCAAAGGTGATGGATATGTCATCTTTGTCGTTTGCATTTCCTAAGAAGCATACCCTTTTCCCATTGTATTCATACACTGTTGACTGAAAAATATAATATAGAATGAAGTCATTAGATTCATTAAAAATTGAAAAAAAAAAAATTAATTGGTATTGGAGAATGATCAATTATAATGAATTATAGCACTTACAGACATCATCCTTCCATAATCTGTAGTGTTGGTTGCATTGCCATACAAAAGTACATCCTCCAATGAATATAAAAGGTTATGGAGTTCCTTGAGATGCCCCCACTTTGGTTGGTTCACATTGCCTAAATCATTTCCACAATTGCATTAGTATCAATAGATCAGAATAAGATCAGATTAAAGTTTGGTAATTAAAACTTTACCATATTCATCGAGGGGAGCATTGTAGTCATATGTTGTAGCAATGTATGGTCCACCCGATGTCCTTCCGAAATTTGTTCCACCATGGTACTAAAAGATGAGAAAGTAGGTTAATTTGGGGAAGCGGAGAAGTAATAATAGACAAATTTTTATGCCTAACAATACATATTACACCATACCATGTAATAGTTTTGTAGAGATCCACCATATTGAAAAAAATGAGCAACAGCAAATGCAAGATCTTCGGCAGGTCTGTGAGGGTCTCCATCACCCCAGTTCTTAAACCTTACATATTTTTTAATCAAAATTATAAGTGTAATTAAAATTTCAATTAATTAGATAAATAAACAAAATAAAATTAAAGCATACTAACCAGCCACTCCAATTTTCCGTCCAAAATTTAGGGTTATTGGTCTTAGGCCAGAATTGACCACAATAAAATCCATTGCAGATATTAATCTGCATTTTTAACCAAGGAAATTAAACTAAATATATATAATTATATTACCAAAAAAATATAAAAATAATTTTAAAAAATAAAAATTACCATAGTTTTGGGAGCATCATCCTCTTGACACATGATCCAAGGCACTCCAATATTTAGAGAAAGAGCAAAATCCGCACACCAATTTATATACTTCTTTCCTTCTTCTCCGTAGTGCGATATAATATTCCCATACTCATTTTCAATCTATTATTTAAAAAAAAATTATAATAATAAATATTTAAGTTTGAGGTGAGAATTTAAAAAAAAAAGATTAAAAATTCAAAAAAAAAAAAAATAAAATCAGAAAATGGCAACATTACCTGGGCAAGGATAATATTTCCCCCTTGGCTAGCAAAAAGTTTCTCTCCTTTTACCATGTCTACAATTTTCTTTGTGAAGATTCCCATCTCCCTCTGAGCAAAAAAATCAATTTTTAAAAATTTGAAATGCAATAATAATAATAATAATAATAATAATAATAATAATAATAATAATAATAATAATAATAATAATAATAATAATAATAATAATAATAACAATAACAACAACAACAACAATAATAATACCATGAATACTGCATTGTTGGTTCTGAAAGTTGTGTTTGGCATGTTGTATAACCACACAGGAAATCCTCTGAAATTTAATACATTACAGGACTTTAAAACCTCCTAAATATTTATAATGTTTATGAAACAAATATCATGATTGACATTTACCCAAAATTCCATTCTGCACAAACGTATGGACCTATTCTTAGCATAGTATAAAGCCCTTCATTTTTTACTGCCTTGAGAAACTGTATCAAATCTTTATTTCCCGAAAAATCATACTGTAATATTAAGTAAACATTAAAAATAAATTATATATAAACACATATTTCCAAATTAATTATTAAAAAAATATTAAAAAAGATTCCAATTTCAACCTCTCGGTAATTAGGTTCATGAGCATTCCAAAAAACATAAGTTTCTATAGTGTTGAGGCCACCATCTTTTGCCTTTTTGATCAAAGAGGGCCACATCTATATAAATAAACAAATTTAAGATATTAACAATATAAAAAAATATTTAAAAAAATTATTTTAATAGAGTATATAACAAAATTGAGAAATACTTGAGCTGTGCTACGAGGATAGTGAATGGAACCAGAAATGATGAGTTTTCTCTGACCATTAATTTTTAAGGCGCGATTATCATATGTAACTTGTAAAGCATCATAAAAAGGTAAATTGTAAGAAAATATAGTGAGAGCAAGTGCCATGAAACTAGTGAGTAAAGATGCCATTTTACCAAAGAAGAATAAGAATAAGAAAAGATTGGAATGAATTTGTTGTTTTAGTATTCCCCTATTTATAAGAAGGAATTGAAGTATGTAGATAACTATCATGATCTAAATAATAGCTACTTTTACTAAGTAAAAATGTATTATCTTTAAATTATCTTTTAAAAAAATTCAAAAGCCTAAATTATCCTTATGTCAAATTTGAATAAGATTTTTATCACAAAATTTATTTATTTATTTTTAAATCATTGAAAGACATCAAAAGTAATAAAGGCTTATAAAATATTAAGTATGAAATTAATTAATAAATAATTTTTCTTATTTTGTTCCTTTTCTAAGAGTTAAAAAATTATTATTTTTTCACTTTTTTTAAAAATCCATTTTTGTGAGAGATAACGGTGTCTCATAAATAAATTATACTGTGTAGATAATATTGTTCCAGATGATATAAAATGAAAGAGGGCTAGCATAGAAATAAAAATTTAAAAATGGAAGATAAGATGTATAGTTAATCAAGGAGGATTAATAAACGCATAACAAAAAGCAAAATAGAATGGTTCATTTGACAAGTGCATCCATGCTCCATGCCTGGGGCGTTCAAGTGTCCAAAAATTTCCCCTTCTACAATCTCCCCACCCTCATATTCTAAGTAAATAAACGCATAATAATAATTTGATGAAATATTATCTTGACATAATGCAAATAATAATAGGAATGCCTCAGGGCCGGGGGCTTAGCTTTGTCGTCTGACGGGAGGCGGCGGTGTGAGGAAAACCGTTGGAAATATGTATGAGAAAAAAGTCCAAAGATGATGGAAGGTATAAATTGGATTCCTTGTGCGTGTGGGCTAATTCTGCGGCTACCTCCGGGGGCGGGGGTCCTGTATGTGGGCTTAGAATTAATTAGTTCGGCAAAGGTGTGATCGTTATAAAGAAATATATGCTGCATTATCTGGTACTAAAGAGACAGATCGCAGTTCAAAGACCATCTATAGCGTAGTGGACATACTAATACTGGAATGCATGAAAGAGGATTTGTAAGCTCATAGGCCGGGTTCATTTTGGCAATACTTTCTCATGAGTAAAGCTAAATTTTGGATTACCTTCAATGTGAAATAGTTTTTTTATGTCATACGGAAAAGCTTATGAGTGTGTTTGGTAAATAGTTGTTAGTTGATTGATTAGTGGGTTTGACTAGTTGATAACATTAGCTGATTGTTGGTAAATTAACTGTTAGTTGATTACGTCGTACAAAATGACTTTATCAAAAAGCAGTTTTGAGCAATTTTTTGAATTTGTATTTTGGAGAAATAAGTTAATACAAAAAGCTAATTAGTCACTCATATTGGTTGTTTAACCAAGTCAAACACTAATATTGATCAAACAAACCAAAACTGATTGATAAGCTAACTATTTTACTATGCAGAGTAGAGTTTTACAATCCCCTCTTCATCAGATTATTCAGAAGTTACTGAAGAGTAGAGTTTTATCCCTAGCACGAGACATAGCAAATATGTGTGATTTTGACATGACTTGGATAAAAATGTATTGATCCAAAGCCCTAGACAAAAATGTGTAAAGTACTAATGCCATGACTTGGATAATATACATACAAAGATTATAAATGGGATGAGGGTGGGGTGAGGGGCAGCTGCCCCCCTGCCCCCCTTTGGCTCCGTCCTTGCTGAAAAGGGCCATTGGAGATTGATATATAGTATTTGATTAATATAATGGAGATGGATGATGTAAAGATTAAATATAGAAAATATATTCTATTAATCTCTGCATACATAATTAGGGATGTATATATATTATATTCATTCCATATACATAGGCTGTATATATATCTCTCTTTACTTGTGTTTTTCATTATCACATATGGGAAATATATTATAATTCCATTTATTCTTCTGCTTACTCTTCTTCATCTCTCTCTCTATGCACACAGTGCATTTCATGGTATCAGAGCTTTTTTTTTTTCTTCTTTTTGATAAATACTCATCATGTCCCAACATTCATCCAATACATCATTTCCCACAACTGAAACCTTAACTCCTTCCATTGTTCTACCACCGTCAAATGACACCCATGTTGACATCGAGAGCCCTTCTTTCCTCCATTCCTCAGATGGCACATGCACTACTCTTGTTGTCATCCTTCTCACAGGCATTGACAATTATTATCCTTTGTCCCTTGCAATGACAATTATATCGTAACAACCCAAAATTTTATTTTATAAATCCAGTATTAAGAAATTTCAAAGTAGTTTTTTCATCCTATTAAAAATTTTAAATCGAAAATTCCAAAGTTTTCGGGTACTTCGCGTACCAAGATTTAAATCGAGAATTTTACTCGAGTGAGACCGGGAGAATTAAAAAGGAAATTTTGAACAAGTGTTCATCCATATAGTTTTTGGGAAAATTCACTTTCCACCCCAAAGTAATAAAGAAATATCATTTCTAGCCTATGGTTCATGATACATGGTGAACCACAAGACATCCAAAAATCTCTTATAAAGTCATCTTTTAGCTTGGGGAAATTACCCCTTTACCCTCAACCAATCATTGGGTATCATCCTAGGGTTTTGAACCCTATATAAACCCTTCATTCCATCACATTTTCCTGATCTCATTTTCATTGCCTCTTCCTCACATTTGTCTGCCAACATCCAAGGAGAAAAGCTTCAACCTAGTAAGCTTGTTCATCCTCCTTTCTAGCATCATTTCTCTTCTAGTTTTCTTTAGTCTTTAAGAATATAGGCTAAGGGTAGAAGGATAAAAGGCTCAAGCTAGACCAAGAGGAAGAAGAGATCCAAGCAAGAAGTCTAGACTACAGGAGGTATAACCCATGGATTCCTCTTTAGATTTGGCTCTGTGAGGCCTAGTTTTGAGTAGAAATGAGTAGAAATTATGAGCTTTTGATGTGTTTATGCTTAGAAATGGTTTGGTATGTGTTTATGAGTTGTTGAGATTGTTTTGGAAATATTTGGACAAGTTTTGAGGGCCAAATATGTCCAAAAAAATTTGACATATTTGGACAAGTTTTGAGGGCCAAATATGTCAAGCATATTTGTTAATGTATACATGATTTAGAAGCATGTTATAGAGCATTTGAAATTTCACATGAGTCATATTTCAAAAATGCATAAAGGGCCAACGTGAGTCCAAGAATACTTTTGAAAACCATAAGCATGTGGTATATCATTCTTTGATGCATTGAGAAGTAGTAGAATTGTTGCATGCATGAGATTGATGCATGAGAGATATATTTATGTATTATCTATATTGGTGAGATTTTGGAGGATACCGTTTGGACTATATTCCTCTCGGGAGATATTTATGGACATTGCGGTCCCAAAGTATGCAACGCGGCGTATTCCCACGTTACGAGGTTGGAAACTTCCCGCCGGGCTTGGAATCCTGGTTAGGGGGTGTGCACACTAATAGTTCGATACCTGATTCCACAGAGTTTGAACCACGAGATTGGTTCCGTAGACGGTAGGAGATATTGGGTCGGAATTATGCCGTTCCCGATGGGGTAAGTCACACTTCTGTGAAACCCTAAGCCGTCTACGAGTATAAGAGAAAGAAAGAGAGTCAACAGAGACTCAAGAAATAGAGTCATCAGGGACTCAAGAGAGAGAGTCAACAGAGACTCGTTTATGAGAGTCAATATAGACTCGATAGAAAGAACGAGAGTCAAGAGTGACTCGAGAAAGTAACAAAGAAACCTCCACAGAAAGTACCCTATTATATATATGAGTGTATGATTATATTATTGCACTAGATTGCATATGAACATGAGTATATTGTTGCACGAGATTGCATATGAAAATGAGTATATTGTTGCACTAGATTGCATAAGAGTATGAATGTATTATTACACTAGATTTCATATGAATATGAGTATATTAACGCACTAGATTTCGTAAGAGTATGAGTGTATTATTACACTAAATTGCATAAGAGTATGAGTATATTATTGCACGAGATTGCATATGAACATGAGTATAATGTTGCACTAGATTGCATAAGAGTATGATTATACTATGGCACTAGTTTGCACGAGAAGCATGATCATAATGTTATATATGATTGTTTGTGAATAGAACATCGTAAAAGATTGTTTAATAAGAAGTTTAGCTTGAGAGGTTCCTTGAGCATGATTATTATGATGTAGTAGAAGTTCTACTTAATAAGCTACGTGATAAGAGTGTGATAGCATGTGAACACGTGTTATATGATCTTTAAACATGATCCTATCTGTAAGCATGAATTACTTGATAAGCTATTTGAGAAGTCTATATGTATATGAATATACGTGATTAGTTTTATTCATATATAAGCATGCCAACTGATATTATAGGGTGCAAGCCTTTAGAAAGAATATGATAAACTAAAGATGTTTTGAGATTAGCTTATTGCTATAAAGATATCAAATGTTTTCAAAGTGTATGCTAGAATGTTTTACAGGGTTGAGTGTGGTTATACTTAGCTTCGTGCTAACAGGTGTTTTCATGTTTGTCTATGTGTTGCTTGCAAAACTCCTTTCAGGTGGGCCCAACAGTGAGAAGAGATCGAGTTAGATTAGTCTCTTAGTCTAAGCTGTCTAAACTCTAGTTCTATTTATGATGTCTTTATGGATTTAGACTTATGACCCTATACTTTATGATGATGTTTGTAGACTGTTTTGGGGTGACGTATTTCCCCCTTACTTTTCAGTATTTACTTTAGTGCCCAGACTTAATCGTATGTTATAGTTTTACCCCTTTAGCCTGTGCAATCACCAAGAGTGATGGTTGTGGCGATGACACCCTCACTACTTTCATCTAATTTTCCGCTGCTTAGATTATGTTAATGACTGTTTAGAGAGATTATTAAGAGTTAGAAAAGTGGGGTGTTACAAATTGGTATCAGAGCGGTACGAACCGCGGGAAAACTTAGGAAGTTTGACCCTTAAGATTGAGTATAGAAAATCTAAGTGAAAATCCTAGGAAGGACAAGTTGAGGAAAGACCT